ACATAATCACACTTGATAGAGAAAACCTGGAAGAGATGCAAAGTTTCATGTACCTGCGAAGCATCATCGATGAATAAGAAGGATAGGATGTATACGTAAAGGCGAGGATTAGCAAAGCAAGGATAACGTTCCCACAGTTAAACAAAATATGGAACTCAAATTTCAACAAATATCAAAGCCAAAATCTTCAATACGAACGTCAAGACAATTCTACTGTACGAAGTTGAAGCGTGGAGAACTACTACAACCATCGTAAAGAAGGTAAAAGTATTTATAAATAGTTATCTAGACAAGATATTCAACATCCATTGGTCGGATACCATCAGCAACATCCTTCTGTGAGAGAGGAAAAGATAGCATCCAGGTGAAGAGAAAACAAGCAAAAAATGTTGGAGGTGGATAGAACATACATAGAGGAAATAACTAAACTGCATCACGAAGCAGGCCGTAACTTGGAATCCTGAAGAGAAACGGAGAAGAGGAAGGACAAAAAACACATTGCGTCGACAATTGGAAGCTAACATCGAAAACGTGAATAACAGCTGGAAAGAAGTGGAAGTGTTTGTCAATGACAGATTTAGATGGTGAGTGTTGGTGGACGGCCTATGCTTCTCCAGGAGGAGTAATGGCCGTAAGTAAGTCGTTTTCGTGTTTTGGGTTTTAATAAACCTTCATTTGTATTAGTCTTAATGTTCATATTTTGCGCCATGGGAATCTCAGTGGTCCCTGGTCTTTTTTTAAAAAAGTATAAAAATAAGCGGCACCGATATCATAATAGTAGTTTACTTCAATATTCAGTTAAATGAAGTATTACTAATGTTTGTCAAATGAAGATTGTCTCAATATTCTCTAATTCAAAGATTTTACTGTATGTTAAGACCAATTTATTTTATTTGCACATCGGATTTCTGACTTTTCACTACTTAACGTGAATTTGTACGACCTGTCGCTGTATTAATTTGTGTGTCAGAACTGTTTATTTAAACAATCACATTCATTTTCCACCCAATTTACACACACACACACACTTAATTTTAACCCCACCACATCATATTACAAATGTATACATTTTTAATATTCACATTTTGAAGCACAGTGACAAGTCATACAAATTCATCTTGATCAAGATTAACTTGATATTGACATATTCAGAGCCATTCTGATGATTCTGATCATACTAAAAGGTATTCAGCATTGTTTCTTTTAGATTACTAATTCAACTGGTGTTAATTTTATTTCGGTTATTTATTTACTCTGAAGAATCGGTTAACAGAAAGTCACAAAACGTCAGGAATACGATGTTCCATTCATAGGGATATCACAAATATATATTTATTGATAACTTACGACCCAATACTTAATTTATTTGAAGCTATCAAGTTCATTCTTGGCATTAATATGTTTGTATACGTTGTGAGATCCTTGTTTTTAGATTGATAATACAATACTTACTTACTTGCTTACGCCTGTTACTCCTCGTAGAGAAGCATAAACCTCCCACTAAGATTCTCCATCAAATTATGTTCTGGTCAATCCTTTCCACTTATTTCCAGTTGTTATTCATCCTTTTGTTATTTGTTTCCAACTCCCAGTCGAGTTCAACCAGGTCTGTTGTGAGATGGATGTGTCGCTTAATTTTGTGGATTAGTTGAAGTTTGACATTAACACCAATGGATGCCGGTCGGCTTAGTGGTCTAGTGGTTAAGCGCTCGCGCGCAAGACTGATAGGTCCCGGGTTGGAATCTCGCGATGCGAGGTCGTGGATACTCACTGCAATAGGACGAAATGGCCGTCCAGTGGTTCCAGGTTTTCCATGATGGTCTAGCTTCAACTGACTCATGATCTTAACCATTGATATTCTATCAATTGTATTTATTCTTATTGCATAATAGTTGGCCATTTTACGCATGACTGACTAGACAACTAATTACATAATAGAAAGGAAAATCAAATATTATTAAGAATGAATAGAAAATAAACATCAAATAATTAATTATATGGAATGATAAAGAAAAAGAAGAAAAAAGAAAAAAGAAAAGAAAAGATAAATATCTTTATAAAAAGTTTTTTTTCTGAAAAAAAGAAGAAAAAATATTTTCATAAGATTTGTCAGAAAATCTATAGAATTTGAAGGGAATCATTTTATAATGAATTTAGGAAATTAGGAGAAAAATGAGGTAACTGATTGTATTTATAAAATGTAATAATGCATGTATTAAAGAGATGAACTATATGATGTGTAATTTTAATGGTTGAGATCATGAGTCAATTAAAGTTAGATCACTATAAAAAAGCTGGAAGCACTGGATGATATGGGTTCGAATCTTGCGAGGTGGGATCGTGGATAAGCATTGCTGAAGTGTTCAGTGCTTCCAGGTTTTTCATGGTGATCTAGTTTCAATTGATTCATGATCTTAATCAATAAAATTATCATAATATTCACAAAAACCTTTCTGATACTATTTTGTGCGTATTTGATAATGATAAATTTTCGTTCTAGTTATTTTTGTGAAGCTTACTTACTTACACGTGTTACCCCAAATGAGCATAGGCCGCCGATCAGCAATCTCTAACTCACTTTGTCCTGGCCCTTCTTTTCTAGTCTCATCCAATTCATGTTCATTTTTCTCATGTCTGTTTCCATTAATCGACGTAATGTGTTCTTTGGTTTTCCTCTTCTTCTTTGGCTTTGAGGATTACAAGTAAAAGCTTGCCTAGTGATGAAGTTTGATGATTTCCTCAATGTGTGTCTTATCCACTTGCAGCACCTCTTCCTGATTTATTCGTCAGCTGGGATCTGGTTTGTTCTGGACCAACAGATTCAAAGTATTTTGCGTAAGCAACTGTTAATAAACACTTGTATCTTCTGGATGATGGCTTTCGTAGTTCTCCAGGTTTCTGCCTCATACAGTAGAACCCTCTTGACATTTGTATTGAAAATTCTGACTTTGGTGTCGGTTGAAAGTTGTTTTGAGTTCTAGATGTTCTTCAGTTGTAGATATTCTGCTCTTGATTTACCGATCTAAGCCTTCACATCTGCATCAGATCCATCCATGTCATAAGTTTAATTAATTAGAGAAACGTCTTCAGTTAGTTGATAATTGGTTTGATTTCAGACCTTGTATGACAGCTTTAACAAATACTTCATGCAGAAGTAATGTTTTCTTGTATTCCACGAGTGTTAGTGAATTGATAGTTAATTTAAATCCCATGTCATGAATATGAAAATAATGAGACTAGTTATCACGTTATTTCAGTAGACTGACAATATTTCATTTCACTATTTATGTTTAACTAGTATTATAGAGTTATCAACTTGTTACTCAGGTCAATCAAGGCATATAAGTTGAATATACAGCAACGTTTAAAACAGTTACATGAAATGAACATATTCGTATTTCATATTCAGTCATCTATAAATCTATTTCAATACAGTAGATATTCACAAATATTAACTTTTTAATCGTTTAAAAATCCCTATCATATTAAAAGAATAATAATTCCAATAGTTGAGATCATGGGTCAATTGAAGTTAGACTACCATGGAAAACCTGTAAGTACTGGACTTCCGTTTCGTCCTATTGTGGGACTCCTCAGCGGCGCGCATCCGCGACCCCGCCTCACGGGATTTGAACACAGGCTCTACTGGTCTCGCGCGCGAGCACTTAACCACTAGACCACTGAGCTGGCCGGCATGCAACGGTGTTAATGTCTAACTTCAGCTAATAATTGGAAGAAGAATATTCCTTGCGATGAATTCCCCTAAAGTTCTACAATTATATATCTAAATTAATGATCAGGAAAATGACCAGGTTAACGGTAAAGTACATCGTTTAAAGTTAGATCATGTGAATTTAGGCTTGTCAAGCAAATAAGAATAAAACTGTTAATGTTGATGTAACTCATAGAATGTTAACTGGAATTTGCATAAGCAAAGATGGATAGTGACTAGCATTAGAATCCAGGACGCGCGTTTCGTCCTATTTGGGACTCGTCAGATGGATTTACTTACATCTCAGTGTTGATATTCACTCTGGGACTCGAACCCAGTTTCATTCTCTTCAAACGCCATCGCGTTATCCACTCATCTACTGAGTCCTGATAGCCACTAGCTTGTGCAATGGAGTGAGTTTAAATTCACTTGATATTGTTTTACTTATATCTTCCCATTGAGGTTTAAGACTGCAATTGATCAGTCTGTTATTTGCATATGTGCATCCTGTGCGTATTGGCTGGAACCTGCATATATGTGAAGTGAAATTTAATATCTATGATCAGAATAAATATGGGTCAGATAGGGTGAGAGAAATAATAGTGCAATTACAATCCCTCCTTTTAAGTTTCACTAAGTTTTCACACAATATAACCTTCTAATAAACAGTTGACCCAATTGTAATTGCACTAATATCTCTCCCACCCTATCTCACCGATATTTATTCTAATCGTGGGTCTTAAATTTCACTTCACATATGTGTAAATTCCAGTTAACATTCTACTCTATCTTTAACCTGGTCATTTTTTCGGATTATTCACTTGAGTATGAAGTTTTTATTAGTATTTTCAAGAATTTCATTTAAAACCTCTAATATAGAGAATCATAGATATTTCTCGTTTATTATCCATGATGGTTTTATCCTTCTGTTTATTTTTTCTAAAAAAAAATAAAACAAACATATTGTGATCGGTAACCGAAAAAAAACTACAATTTAGTTTCAACCAATCAAAATGCTAGAAAATAATGTCGATTTCTGATTGGTTGATTATTTGGTGAATAATCATTTTATTTACGATCATTATATTTTATGGTTACTATCATTTGAAAAAGATAAAAATGCACATCGTTTTTTCTCTCTCTCTCTCCCTCTCTTTAAATGGATAATATTTTTTTAAAGTAAACGATCAATCTTGTTTATTTATTTATTTTTCAATTTTTTTCTTGTCCAAAGAAAAAAAAATGATTCCACAAAAGGCGGAATTCAATTAGGAAATGAATGTAAATCATGACTAGTAGACAATTGTGTCAATCTATACCAGAATCTTATCAAATTAATAGTATAAAAATTATATATTTAACATGTGCTACAGTAATAACAACAACATTTATTATAGAATGTATATTAATACATTTAGTTGTACAACCATATTTTCATGAATCAGCATTTACACATACAAATTGTACATTTGTACATGCACATATTGTAAGAAAAGATGTAAAGTGTGAAAATAAATGTTCAAAAGATCGATCAAAATTTCCATGTTTAAAAGTGATTGTACAATATTTTAATGGAAATAAAAATCATACAGTTATATTATTTGATAATATAGCAACATATAATCATTATAAATTACTTGGAGTAAGTTAATTATAATAATAAATTCATTAATTTATTATTAGAAGAAAGGGTGGGGTTTGTGAAGATTTTTATAATTTAATAGTTAAATTTATGACATTAACACCGTTGGTTACCAGCTCAGTGGTCTAGAGGTTAAATGTTCATGTGCAAGACTAATAGATCCTGAATAAATGAGTACTGTTAAGGAGTCTCATACTAGAACGAAACGACTGATCAATGCTTCCAAGTTTTTTTTCATGGTGGTCTGATTTTAAATGACTCACGAATTCAGTGCTTAAATAATTTTATTATTGTATGCTTTAAAAAGGTTTATTTAGTTATTTTGACTCGGTTACATAAAATTATAGTGATAATAATGAAAATTTGTGGTGGGTAATTTAATTTTTTGTAAGTTGATCGACTTCATTTCAAATTGATTAATTCCGTAGGGTTAATATTATTTCGGGTTAGCGTTATTTTTAAAGCAATGGAAAAAGCAAGATTTTTAAATACAACATGAGAACACCAAACCAATAGCATTTGATGAAAAAACTCTGGAAGAGTTGGGAAATTTGACGTACTTGAGAAGTATTGGATGCAGAACTCAAGGTTAGGATTAGGAAGGAAAGAGCAACATTCCTACAGTTGAAGAACACATGCAACTCAAAACAACTGTTGACCAATGTCAAAGTCAGAATCTTTAATACAAACGTCAAGACAGTCCTACTGTACGAAACTGAAACGTCAAGAACTACTATAAACATAGTCAAAAAGGCATATGTATTTATAAACAGTTGTCTATACAAGATACTGAATGTCAGTTGTTCCGAAACGATCAACAACAGTTTACTGTGGGATAAAACAAACTAACTTCCATCTGACGAGGAAATTAGGAAAACACGATGGAAGTATATATGACATACATTGAGGAAACCATCAAACTACATCACATAGCGGGTGCTAACTTGGAATCCCGAAGGGACACGGAAAAGTGGGAGACTAAGGCACATATTGCTCATGGATTTGGAGGCGATTGAAAAAAACTGAAAAGGATTTTCCTGAACAGAGTAGGTTAAAGAATCCTGGTGGGCGACGTATGCTTCTCCATGAGGGGTAATAGGCGTGTGTAATTAAGTCAATAAGGTTAATATTACCTGATTTATTGCGTTCTTAAAAGACATCTAGCAAATTTCATCGATATATATATATATACCTTATTCTTCACTGAATAATTCATGTATATTAGATATCTCAATATGTTAACTTGAAATTGAAATAAGTAATATACATCATTGACACTTTGCAATTGTTTTAAATTCTACAATGAGATTCTTACATTAGATCACTATAATATTGTAAACTATGTGTAAATAAAGAACTCACTTGGGAATATAACTTACTGAATTATTTAAATCAGGATTGATAATAGATTTTGATCTGCTTATTCAACCTCAGTGTAGGGGGAAATAATTTTAATCAAATAAGATTTGGTAAAACTACATGGTAGTTTCATAACTTTAATATTCTACATTGTAATTTTCATGTGAAATTATTATGTGTACCTACACATTTCATCAAAAAAGTACAGATTGAGAGAGAATCGAGTAATATACATATGTAATCAGAGTTGGATAATGACTAACAGTGAAATCTAGGAGATGCATTCCGTCCTATTTGGTAATTGTTAGTTGGCATTTAAAGCAAACTGTGGTGAGTACCAGAGTAAACATCTACAAGTCATTGGGTATACTATTACCCACCACACAATTCTACTCACAATGCTTATCATGTAATAACAACATCGTGAAAATCCACACAGTAATATCCATATAAACCAACAAAACAAACTGATCAATCTCATCACTGACCAATCAATCAGATAATTCAAACAATCAATACAAATGAATTAACGATATTTAATTCAATATTATGTTCATTGATTGATTGATTGATTGATACATTGGTGACAAAAGGAATTTCACATGTTTTGATGGTACATATAATTCTGATTCTATTCAGATGTATAGCATATGCTTCAGAGATACATGTATGATGGAGGTTCACTACATTCGACAGATTTCTACTCATCTTATTTTATAAATGAACTTAAACTCCGAGTTCGTTGTGATCGAATGATCTGTATTGACAAGATGTTTGATAATACAACTTCTCAGTGAATCATTCTTCACCATTTTTCAATGAAACTGGGTAGTGTTTATGAATGGACCAATCCCAATTAATTTAGGATTATGTAAACAAGAGGTGATTAGCTGATGGTGATGATGAATTCCAGTAAACATTGCAGATAATAATAATAAGATATTGACATCTCTCTACTTATATTGATGGTAATGAATATCAAGGCTTTTTACATTATTGAATGATAGAATAAAATAGTATAACAAGTTGGTTGTTACATTCAGCAACTGTTGATTAGATATTACTGTAAGAAGCAACTAGTTTACCAACAAATAGTAAATTATCTAAAGGGGTTTTGTGGAGATTTTAGTAATTCCAATAGTTGAAATCATGTGTCAAGTGAAGCTAAACCACCATGAAAAACCTGGAAGCACTGGTCAACCGTTTCGTCCTAGTATGGGACGTTAACACCGTTGGATGCCGGTCAGCTCAGTGGTCTAATCGTTAGGCGCTCGCACGCGAGACTGATACGTCCTGTGTTCGAAAATCACGGGGGGGGGACGGGATCGTAGATGCGCACTGCTGAGGAGTCCCATATTAAGACAAAACGGCCATCCTTTGCTTCGAGGTTTTCCATGGTGGTCTAGCTTCAATCGGCTCATGATTTCAACTATTGCAATTGTATATTTTCAAATTTTCATAACTGTTATCAATCCTATCTATAAGGTATATCATATTAGAAAAACAATGTAATGTAGTTTATGTTTTCAATGATAATAAACTTATTCCCTATATTCTATCTGATGCATATAACCATTAAGAACTATTCACAGATTATTTGGGAAAATTGTATCTAACTACATATTAAGAAATGACAATCAATAATGATTCTATGGTCTAGACAATCTGTAAGACACTATGAAAATAATTGTTTTTTGAAAAAAAAATAATAAATTGAAGAAAGAAAAGTCAATAAATTCATGATCGCCTGGGTGGGTGTATGTGTGTGTATGTGTTTTGTCTCTCTTCAAATTGTCAATTTAGCAACCAACTCAAAACAGCTGTAATTGTCAACTTTTAGTAAAACCAAAGAAAAAAATTGTTTAAGTGAAGAATTATTTTTTTCCAATCAATTCATTGGCAAAGTCTTATAATGACAACAAGATAATACTTTTCATGATGACAATCAATTATGTATGCTTGTTGATAGTATTCATTTACTAAACTTAGTAACAGTGATAGCAACAAATAGTTATTTATTTAATAGCTGAGATCATGAGTCAATTGAAGCTAGACTACCATGGAAAAGTTGAAAGTACTGAATGGCCGTTTCGTTCTAGTATGGGACTCCACGATCCAGCCTCATGAGATTCGGGCCTAGGACCTATCAGTCCTGCGTGACAGTGCTTAACTTCCAGGCCACTGAGTCTGCATCCAATGGTATTAATGTCTAGCTTCAAACAATTCACGAAATTGCGCCAGCATCCACTATTATCATCAGTGAGTTACTATCTCACAACAGACCAGGTTGAACTTCACTGATCACGGCTACTCATTAGAACTCCAAGAAATACCTCTTGGAAACCGTCACTAGTGATTGTCTAGCTTCAATTGACTCATGGATTCAACCATTAAATTACTATAATATCCACAAAATCTCTTCTCTAGTTATGTATTTGCTATAAATCTGAAAATGCATTTTTTAAGATCCTGAATATTCGTCAAGATTATCTTAGAAATTAGATAAGGATTAATAATTGTAAAAGTTCGTTGCATAATATGATAAATGAAATTATTGAAATTGAAAGAATATTTAATCTAGAGAAACGTAGAACCAAAAGTAAGTTGGTTAGAAGTAAAAGTTAGTAAAGCAGTAAAGAGGAAGAGGGTAATGACTTTCACTATGAGATCTGAAGTTCCTGTATTCTGCCCACTGTATGATCAGAGAGAAGCGCTGCAGAGAAGCCCCATACAAGGGTGGAGTAGATGTCAATTATTTACAAGTTTTCAATGATTATCTTACTTACTTTTTTTACTCACGCCTATTACTCCTAATGGAGTATAGGCCGCTGACCAGCATTATCCAATCCACTCTGTACTGGTCCTTCCTTTACAGTTCTATCCAATTTTTGTTCATTTTTCTCATGTCTATGTCCATTTCTTAGGTCTCCCTCTTTTCCTTTGACCTTGAGGTTTCCATGTGAGTGCTTGCCTTGCGACGCAGTTGACTACTTTCCTCAATATGTGTCCTATCCATTTCCAGCGCTTCTTTCTGAGTTCTTCCTCCGCTGTGATGTGGTTTGTTCTCTCGCATAGTAGGTTATTGTTGATAGTGTCTGGCCAACGGTTCCGAAGTATTTTGCGTAGACAACTGTTAATAAACACTTGTATCTTCTGAATGATAGCGTTGGTAGTTCTCCGAGTTTTCGCTTGATAACTACATATATATGCATTATTCTTCATTCTTTTCATGTAATACTGATGCTTATTCCTCTATGTGATAATTAAACCAAAATAAAAGACTTCTAAACTACTTCATTTCCCACGTTTTAAAATAATATTTACATTGATATACTACTATTATGACGCCTATTTTGAATCAATATTCTCTTATCATCTAGTAAATAGTAGAAGCGGTTAATTCTGTCGATGATGATAATAATAATAATAATATTAATGGTGATGGTGATGAAAGCAAGAGACAAAAGAAAAATCACGTTTTAAAGAACATCACAAAGATTAAAAACGTAACAACAACAACAACAAGAAAACAAACAGACATGAATACCGCTGTATTACATTTCACCCTTCCGTTTTATCATTACTATCCCATATATCATAATATCTTTATATTATTAAACCAACCTGTTGTTGCCTGACCA